GGAAGGAGATCGTGAGTTTGTGCAGCTGAGATCAAAGCCATCGATCGAGCTATCATAGCTGTCAGTTATTAACTTAGACTCCAAAATTTACTGTGATATTTTTATCGGCAAGCCCCCGCCTTTTGTCTCTTAGCAGTACCGTCGAATCGTCTTTGACCACCTGTATCGAATCTCACACCCAAGCCACCGTCAAGCTGATTACTGATTGCTCCATTTGGCCTAACATGCGCTCTGAGATTCAGCAGTGGATCAAACACTGTATCACTTACCAAACCAGTAAGATCCACCGTCACAGGATTACCGTCCCCGGCACGTTACCGCTTTCCGACGCCCGTTTCAAACATGTTCATCTTGACATCGTCGGACCCTTGCCTCCATCCAACGGTTTTGTCCACTTATTGACATGTGTTGATCGCCATACGCGTTGGCCACTTGTTGTGCCTTTACGAGATGTTTCTTCAGAAATTGTAGCGTGAACATCCATTGAAAACTGGATTTGCGTCTTTGGCAAACCAGCCACTATTACTAACGGTAGAGGTCCCAGTTCCATTCGGCCTTGTTTCTTGACTTGAACCGCTTGCTCGGTTGTTCACACCTACGGAGAACCGCCTATCACCCAACTGCCAATCGCCAACTTAAAGCCAGAATCACCGCTTGGTAGTCGAAATCGTAATGGTCAGAACATCTAGCGATTATCTTGCTTGGTATTCGTAACGTCACTAAAGAAGACAATGGCTGCTGTCCCGCTGAATTAGTCTTTGGCATCACGCTCAGACTTCTTGGAGAAATTATGCTAGACACAAGTGTGACTGGAGTTGATCCGACCTCGTGCGTCACACTCCTAAGGTAACACTTCAGCTCAATTCGTCCAACACCACCTCTAATCAGCCCTCAGAGTCAACAGGTACACCTGGATTTGCGCACTTACTCCTTCGTCCTCGTGCGTGTCGTAAACCTCCGACATCGCCTTACGAGAGCTCCTTAAGGTGGTTGCCCGGAAGTAAAGTACTTCGTGCTGGATAGAAATGGTTAGCAGAATACTGTGAGTATTGACCACCTGAACCCGGCCTAAATTGAGACGCGACCACTACCGAAGCCCATGGACATTCCTGTCACTGACCAGCCCACCTACCCAAGTACGCCTCCTACTCAGCCCATGTGTGACACCTCTGTTCCCTCTCCTGTGCCCCAAACATCTTACGATACAAACACGAAATCGCACCACCGAACACGCTTCGGATGTACAGTTCTCCTTTCCAGACTATGACAGATAAGAAAGTATCGAGCATTCGTCTCAGTGACTCACGCTCGAGGGGGGGGTTCTGTAGCGATCGTACAATCGTACCTTCCCATTCCTGTTTCCATTATTTATTGTACAGTTTTGTTTTAACCGACCAAAACACGGGGAAAACACGTTGCAAGTTCCGCTTCGCCTTCTATTTCGGCTACGCGTGTTGTGCTGTCGATCATCGATCTGCTCGCATCGTCCATCGATCATCGGATTTACCGCATCGAATGATCGTGCTGACTAAAGTTTCGTCTTCCGAACCGGATTGTGCGACTAAGAGACGGCCTACCAAGGATTGTGCTTTACCGAATGTCAGGTCCAACATTCTTCCTTTATAGATTGAGAGTTCTTTCATGTAGTTAAGCGCTTCTTAGTTTGGCCTTTCCAGTACTGGCTCATCCGTTAGTTCGCTTATGCTTATGCAGCTTCTAGAGCAAGTGAACTTGTTAACAACGTCCAACGAAGAGCCTGAGATTGAGGTGAGGAGTAGCTCCGACCCAGCGCTAAAGGAAAATCTTAAACTTGGACGTAGCAAAGGTTATTCCGAATCGTGAGACAGCTCCAACCTGACCAGTAGGTTCCGGGTACTCTGAAAGGACTCACAGATTATGACGATATCGTCAGCACACTCCGTCACGAAGCCGATCATTCAAGCGCAACTCGACAGCACTTGGCCCAAAGCCTTCCGGAGCACACCCCAAGGTGTCATTCATAGTGTAGTTGAACAAGAGAGGTGATGTGGAGCAGCCCTGTCACACAACTGGTGATAACGGGATTGCGAATGGTCATCATATACCTGCGCTTGGCTCGAGGTAGAAGAGTGGATTGCTTTGAGGATGTTGACGAAATTCTCGGGCATTTCTCAATAAGCAACTAAAAACATCAACTTTGTCAACGGAGTCAAAAGCAGAATGTATGTCAAGGGAGCATACGAGTGTGGGCCGAATGAAAGCACGGCAGTGCTTGAGTATCTGGTGAATCGTATATATGTGATCAATACAACTCCGAGCTTAGAGAAGCCGAATGTGCTCTTCACATAGGCGCTGTTCACGTGCCCTACTTAGCCTCTGTAAGAGCACGGAAGCGAGCACTGTGGGCGCAACACATATGAAGCTGCTCCCCCTCGATAGTTGGCGTAATATGTTCCAGTACCCTCATAGAAAACAGCCATGATCTCTGCTAAGCTCCATTTCACACTAGGGGGCACCCTGGATACCATGGGGGACATTCGAAAGCATGGAGTCCATTTGAAATGTTGTTCAATGTGCTTTTGTCTAACGCAAAAATTGGTGCTGGCGATTGTGAATGGGCCCGCCGGTGGTTTCGTATAGCACTTCAGTTACATTTGATGGATCGGAGAAGACCAAGTTTGCGGAAGTTCCTTGAATCGGCTTGTTCCATCGCGATGACAGGCGACATGCAATGGCATTAGTGACTGGCTCGAAGGAGCTGTCTGAGCTCGGTATCGGTAGATAGGCGCAATGGGTTGTACCCAGCGCCAGCAGGCATTGCTCGGTGGGCATCACAAAGTTGACGGAGCGTGCGGAAGTCCATTGCTAAATGGCAGACGGAATTGCGCATGGCACTGGATATGTACCGAATGTATCTCGACAAATGGGTATGGAGGACTTCATATTAGAGACCAATGAGGTCTGAAACTCAGACTGTCGGGAGAGGCAAGTTTGGTCACATTGAGCCATTTCCTGCCGGCATCCCAGTATACTATTTAAAATATGACTGAAAGTTGAATTAAGGCAATATTTGTTTTTTACTGGACGTTCACTAATCCTTAGTATTTTGAAATCATTTGGTCAATCCAAGTTTGCGTTAACTAACGTTTAAAACATATTTTAGGTGTCCATACAAAAGGAGGCCAGTAGGAAATGGGTTAAGACGGTTCCAGCGACGCCAGTTGGAGCCAACAAAACGTAGAGCAACCATAACACACAAATACCTCATCTGAAGTGAGATCGGTGTTTCACTTTTAATTTCATGTCGGTAATGCAGCATCACAGACAGACTGATAGTGATGTAGTCGATTTGCGTCTAGGAGTGCCCACGTGAAGGGGCTCGTTAAGTGGCGTACTGGCGTCAGGGAAGATAAAAGTTAGTATCCAAGAGAAAAATCCGTGATTGGTGCAGTACAGTAAAAAGGATCGACCGTCCGATTGTTCGTCACCTAGGTCGCGTTCATCATCGAGCCAACCAACCGATTTTAAGTGGTCGGCGAGCAGCACGTTATCATTGCAGCGCTTAGTATAGAGGTCGGAGAGTCTATAGTGGAACTCGTCTTCCGCTGGGTCCGTACCGCAATCCGTGAGAAGATGCACTGATACAACATAGAAAAGGTTTATGAAACAGAACAATATTGGCTGTCGACTAAATAACCTCAGGGCATTACGGCCAAAAAAGCTATCAGCAGTGGGTCGGCACGCAGTATCCATGCTTCACTACCGCGCAACCAACTGTCAAACGCGGTTTAAGAATATTGCGGGGGTCTCCCGGTCCCCTACGCAGGCTCTAACCCGTGCCCTCAGATTACAAAGCAGGGTTATGATCCTTTAGACCACGGGCTGGCATTAGAAAAACTAATGCAGCTAGCAAAGTGAAATCTAAGATATCGCAAAGCGTTTAACAATTCCGCAACTACTAGGGACACATCTTGTAAAGTGATAAATGGAGGAGGAAACCAGCTGATAAAAACATGAATTATTGGTGAATTGAGGACGATATACACACCATGCAACATTTGTGTCAGTTACAGAATGCCAGTAATAGGTCAGTGGTCCAATGATGGCAAATTGCACAAACTTTTCTGAGAACTGTGTGGGAATGCACATTAGCCGCGAAACTGACCAAATCCATAACGGAATTTGAACAGCCATGAAGAGGCAATGGCCAGACAGTAGGTAATTTTCAAAGCTCTGTTCACTAGGCGCAACAACATCAAAAGTCATGTATTTGGGATAAAATGGAGTTATTAGGACCAAAATAAGGTTTGCGCCGTCGCGTTGCATGCGTATATATTCTTGGATAGGTAGTACAGTAGCGAACGTCCATGGCGGCCGATCTGAAGACAATCGCCGGCAGAATACAGTAGGCTATGCAAAATGAGGAGTCCAAGGGGAAAAACATTTTAATAATGCGGAACAAGAAGCGGATGTAAGGAAAAATTCGTCCGGCAGATGTCAGGTGCTGTAAGCAGGTAGGTTCTTATTACGTCTGGAATTGCTACATGTGCATGAAGGCAGCTGTAACTAGCAAATGGACTACCCTTAAGGCACCAATGTCGTGTTAGGCTACGAAACATCAAAAAGCAAACTGGTGGCTAAAAGCCTCAAATTCGTGAGAAAGTGCGAACCAGTCTGGATGACTAACCTGTATTAACCGGGTTACATTGCTCGGGAGTGTCTGAAGCGCTCTTGCTCAATCTGGTCCGCTTGAGATTTGAGTCCTCAATATTCGCATAATCCGATGAATCGTCCATCGGCTAAGGTGTGCACACCTGTATTCTTTTGACCGGATAGCGCTGGACATCAGCTAAGTGCACCTTTCCACAAACTGCAAAAAGTACAACTAGGAGTACACAACTGATTGGGGAACTGAATGTTAGAACATCGTACAAATAATACCGTAGGGCTACTAAAAGCCCTCGGGGTGGAAATGCGGCAAGTACAAGGTGCTAAGAAAATGATGCAACATAAAAACCCACCTCGATCAAACTAGCCCCGAACTGATGGCAGCCCAGGTAACAACCGACACAGCAAAATAACAGCAGACAAAAATAGGACAAATGGAAGGGATGAGGAGAAACAAGGTCGCGAATATATTTCGAAATGACGCTAAGGTCATCCAGCAGGCAATCAGAGCGAGGTGCTAATTATAAAAACAATCATTACTAAATGTAAAGGTATATTGGAACATTGTATTTAATGGGAATAAAAGCTGGAGCTTTACATGATCCATAGGGTAAAAAGAGTACGGGTCGGGTTTAATGAAAGGCCAAGCAACCTTATAGCGGGTTGGACTCGCGTGTTAGCCGTATCTTCATCGGGCTTATGTGGCATTTAAACAGAATGCACGCCGGCTCAAAGCGAGACATCCAACCACGCCCTCCAAAACGGCTTTGGAAAGGAAGGTGGAAGAAAAGAAAGAACGAAATTCCATCCAGTAGAATGTAGTTAAATTAGGGAATATCGCGGTGTAGCTCGACCAGATGACAGTCCAAGCGGGCCTTGAAGTCCGCCACAGTGGGTGCCAAGACTAAATCGGCCGGCAGAGCATTCCACGGTCGGCAGATTCGCAAAGAGAAGTAGTGTCGTCTGCAGTTCAGCCGACTGTGCTGATGTGTGAGCCTCAGTGGGTGGCCACGTAGGTGGGAGCCCGATTGGTGCAGTGTGAGTAGGTGGCGACAGGGATGTCCAGGGTTGGATAAGATCATGAATACTAGGATCAGGTCGCCCCGTAGACGTCGGTACTTAAGCGAGTAGAGGCCCAAGCACTGAAGTCGTTGTGGATAATCTAGGTGCTTGAGACCTCGGACCAGTTTGGTTGCTCGACGTTGTGGGGCTTCGAGTATGCGTTGGTCCTTCAACAACCAAGGGCTCCAAGCCTGAATAGCGAACTCCAAGTGGGGTCGGAGAAAAGCGTTAATGGAGGAGGCGGAAATTGCTGGGGTCAATTTGACCGAAGGCTCGTTTCAGCAATCCCACCATGCGGTTAGCAGCAGCAGCTGCTTTCCGGCAGGAAGCGGATACGGAAAGACTCGTCTGGGTAATGATACCCAAGTCTCTTTCGGCTGAAGAGATCTGGAGGATAGACGCTCCCAGGTAATACACAGGAGAAAAAGCGGAAGGGCGGGTAGAAAGGACGCGACATTTCGAAGCGTTAAAAGGAAGGTTATTTTCTATGGACCACTGATTTAGACGGTCGAGGTCCGTCTGAAGTGCGTGGGCATCGTCCGGAAGGTTAATTGTGCGCCTCAGCTTGGCGTCATCCGCGTATAGTAGCAGCGAGGACTCCACTTGCGGTGTGACGTCGTCAATGAAGGCTAGGAAGAGGTGCGGTCCGAGAACAGACCCCTGTGGAACTCCGCTTGTGGCAAGGATGCGGGCAGACAACGCTCCGTCGACGCGTACTTGGAAGGTACGGTTTTGGAGGTAGTTCCGGATCCAGTCCATCAAGTCCCCTGAAACGCCGTAAGATGACAGTTTCCGCAGCAGAATCTTGTGGTGGGTAATAGGAATGATAATATGTACTTTCGGTTATCATATGATTCATTGGCTGCAAAAGTAAGGTACGGGGCATTGCGTTTGCGTACGCAGTCCAAAATTTTGGGATAATGGGCAATTTGTCTACCGGTTGTAGCGGGCAACTTAATTAGAACATCGCAAAGTAAACGTTGAAATCGTAACCAGTGCGTTTGGGAACCGGTGGAAACGTTAAAAAAGATTGTTTCATGGAAAATTTGTGCGGTGTTAATTTTCATTGATGAATTTGTGAATAAGGGATCGCGCAATCTTTCTTCGCCATACCTGGCAGCGCTAAGGATGGTACGTGGTTCACGTTCATCAAGGGGTCGGCATCGATGGCTTTGGATGGGGATTACGGCTGCAACTGATCTACGTCAGCAACACAGCGGGTGTTGGACCATGGTCAGTTATTCAAACAGCTAATGAAGATGGAACAACTGAAGCGTTCCGGAAAGACTTCTCGGCATTTCAACATCAGTCCTACACGTCATTTTTCGTGTATAATGCTGAATTTCGCCGGTCGATGCCCCCGATATCATGGTATTGTGCTACCGAAAGGGATAGCATATTTGTACGTGAAGTACGTATGTGTCCCTGCCCACCGGAAACGTAGTGAAGGCCGCAGGTAAGTGATTTCATTTATCACGCTAATACTGCCCATTTAGTTACAGAGACTGCAACTGTGCCGCTCATGTCACGTGCCGTTTGTTGATGGTTCGTATAAGATAACGGATTACTCTGTGGTGCATAGCCATGATTTTCACGTAGCAAAAACTTGGGTATACGTGCGTAATCGTAGGGTGACACAGGAGGATTAGGAGCAAGTTTTTGAGCGCATGCAATGTGGTAAGAGTACGAGGAGAGTAAGATAAGAGCTTTCGCGTTTGGTACCTTCGAAGTGCTGTTAGAACGTGCAGACGTTAGGTCTATACGTAACCGGCACACAAAAATGGAACACGCGAACGAAGCCGTTCGAGTGAGGAGGCTTCTGCGGGGTAAAGGTATATGCAACATAGTGGAAAACAAATAAATAAAGCTAAATAAATAAAGCTTTTATTCTCGACAAGGCGAAGCACGCCTTTACAGGCATGATCATTATGACAACAATGCGCGGTCAAGAAGGTGCAAGAATACGTTATGTTTGCCGTACCAGTGTATGTTTATGTAGGGGGTATGTAATTATGTAGCTGTGTGTGTGGGTGTGTAACTGTGAGGTTCCTGTTTGTAACTGTGCTGCTCTAATTTTCACTCTCATATCGTCGGCAATGCTCGAGTAGAAGATGGATGTCCGTGCGTTGGAAAGGATTATTCGGATACCCACGGGGCAGTGACTTTATTTTGTGGCGAGTCACGACCGCCACGTCACAGTGTTGTTAAGCAGACATTTGTGGCTTTTTATAGGGAGTACGCTTGCTAGACGAAAACCCACCACGTCCTGGAACACTGCCGCCGAACTATTTGCTGGAACGGGTCAAACCCGAACCACCCAGCTGGCACCACGAGGAGGTTGTTCGGCTAGCCACCGCGAAGCGTTTTACCATTATGTAATCGCTTCTGTGATGTCATCCTGGCAGACGCCCCACATCAACACAGTTAAGGTGCTTATGTGCTATGGCATGCAATGCTGATTTAAGAAACCAGCATTGCTCGTAGTATTTCTATGCCCTCATGCCTAACGAAATTGTGCTCAGCTGCCATGATGCGGTGCAGCGAATGACGGAACAGTTTCCAAAAACCCGCACCTCAATGACGTTGGTGCTAGCTCGCTGCTTAGCACGAATGAAGGCTTTCAAACCATGCATTCGAAATGAGCATGTGGTATTCTGCCGATCCATGTATTAAGAGACATGCGCAAGCGCTGCGCTCATTTAAAAGGTTGCAACACTATGGACCGGAGAAAAGTTGCGTAATAGATGAGTAATTTGGTGTATACACAAACCGAACAGCAGTTCAACAAATCGCTTGCTACCATCGGTGCTCGAAGTAAGGAGGCGTTTAGGTATCTTAATAGCATCTGGCTCCCCTACACGGAAAACTGAGCAGGACGTATTTTAAAGGGCGTAAGAAATTTGTTCAATTTCACCACGAACAGAGTGGAGGTAGAGAATAGGCACCTGAAACACGGTTTGTCCCGTAGGTCAAGTGTCCTTCAATTGTTTAAGCAGGTGTTACGACGGAATCATGAATTAGACCAGGCAAGGGAAAGCCGCCTAGCGAAAGCTCACATGAGTGAGGTCAAAACTCCCTCATGTGCACGTTAGTTAACCAAGGTTTTGCGTTCCTTAGGGATGTATTCCCGTAAAGTGCTGATGAAGCACCTATCAGTAAATAAGGTGACAGGCATGGGATATGGCAAGGGGTTCTGGAATGTGCGCACCTCCCGTGGGCGTTCCTTCTAGGTGAAATATGCAGGCGCCCCGATTTGCAAATGCGCATTCACTATGCAATGGGATTTGCCGTGTGCTCATGCCCTAGAGGTATGCCGGCTAATCGGCTATCTACAAGAAACCTATTCCAGGAATTGGTTGGTTTTCACCTGCGCAAACACCGGGGAAAGTTTCCAAGCCTGGAGAAGAAAAGTACCAGGAGGTTCATACGGCTTCCCAGTGCACGACTGCCGAGAAGCTAACCATTAGTGAAAGCGTTGGGTAGGAAATAGCTATCGCGTTAAACGCAGTGGACGTTTCTAATTTCCGTAAACAGATGCAAGCTCTGAAGGATCTCGCGGGGAGTCTTTGTGAGAGACCTGATTTAGAACTAATGGCTAAGGATCCCACCACCGGGCAACTAATGACCATTGGTCGGATCGCGAACACTGTTTCCCCTTGTCGGAAGAAGCGGAGGCGTGTAGATGTTTTCATAGACAAACAGGCAGCGAATGAAGGTACCGCTGTTGGCTGTGAGCCGTCAACGTCGCAGCGTAGGTTGCCAGCAGCGCCGTCTAAACAAAAGCAGAGTCTCGCCAGTCGAGAACTGTATGATGAGGACATATTAATAGTGGGTGATCCGTTACAGAAGACGAATATCCGACAAATACGAACTACAACTGCAGCGGCATATCCTTTGCAGAAAAACCGGTGAGCGTCTGCGCAAGTGTCGCATGATTGCAATGGATGTCTCGTGTGCGGTAAAGAGAAAAGGGATTCCGTGGACGTGGACGTGAATTGGGTACAATGCCGCGCCTGCGAGCACTGGTGCCATGAAACGTGCACGGACCGCCGGGACCCAGATGATTCGTACCAGTGTGCGGACTGCCAAGGAATCAGGAGGGACGACTGAGTGCAGCACGCAAACAGCGGTAAGCGGATGTCAGAGAACGTGTGTAAACCCAAACGTTTTGCAAACCCAAAAAATTACAAACCTTTTGATAAGCCAAAAAAGGAAAAATATTTCGAAAAACCCAGAAAGTTTTGCAAACGGGAATGCGTATTCCTGCACATATGCCTACATGAGGATCCGTTATGGGTAAGCGTTTCCTGTCGTTATGCATCGCTTTCGATACATGCCACTAACCGGCACTACCTGTTTTCTTTTTCATGATACCAACAGCAGTGATGGCATTCCATTGGAGGAAGATGTCATCGCACGGAACCTGCGTGCGTTCCCGTTTTTGCGCTGTAA